CAGCGGCCAGCCGCCTCTTCAGCACGTGCCAGAGCCTGTAACGTGGCACCCCGAGCCCCCCCGGGACAGGGCAGGGACTGACAGAGATGGCACCTGTGCCCAAAACCCCAGCACCATCCTGCTTCCCGCCCCATCAGACTGCTGCATCATCATGTCCCCAAGCACTGCTGGTTTGCGTTCCCACGTGCCAGGCGGCTCTGGGTACCTTGAGCCCATCTTTTGCCCCCTCCTGCAGGTAAGGGATGATGGAGTTGTTCCACAGATCGATGAACCAGGTCCGGAAATCCTCAATTCCAACGGGGCAGGACAGGAAGAAACAGGGACCTGCAGGGAAAGGCAGAGAGCGAAAATAGGAGCTGGGTTCTCCTGCTCCAGTCACTGGCCCCACGGCAGCAGAGCACCAAGGTGGACAAGCCTGGCTGCACCGGGTGCCCTGGGCTCAATCACCTCCTGGGAGCAGTGTCCGGGCAGCATCTGCCCACACATGGGCAGAAAGCAAGCTCGCAAGCAAGTAATGGGGCTGCTAAGTTCAATCTACCCCCCAAAAGCATGGTGAGGCAAAGGGAGACCTGCCTGGGAGAACACGGCTCCTCCGTGCCCGAGGAAGGGCGCCAGTAAGGCAGGCAGCCTTGGCTGACACCGTGGTGACAGCTCCCATGGGGCACAGGAACGCACACCACGCCGGCAGGAGCCACACCTGTGCGCATCGCCCACCGGCCTTTGGTTGCGTGGGACTGGGGGACACGGGGCAGCACGTCAGCCCCCCAAGCTCCTTTGGGAGGGTTTTGCCCCAGTCCCTGGGGGCTCCCAGCAGCATGAGGCAGAGGAGGGAGGTGTGCGGCAAGGCCATACCGATGAGGAAGTCGGAGGTGCTGTGTTTCTCCAGGAAGGTGTGCAAGTGGTACCACAGCTTGGGCACCCAGTCCAGCACGCGCAGCAGCTCCTCCTTGTTGGCATTGACGTCTGTGTCCGACTCCAGCAGCTTCCGCCGCAGGTAGCGCACCAGGAAGCCGTTGGCTGGCTCCACGTTGTTCGAGAAGGTCAGCATCCTGGGGGAAACTCAGGTGGTCAGGGCTGGGTCTCCACACAAGCTGTCCTGCTCCCCAGCACCCTCGGGGGACCTCCTAGCACCCCCACAAGGCATGTGCCCAAGGCTGGGGCATCAGCTCTTCCTGGGATGGCAGGGACAGGCCTGGGGCTCGGTCCCGGTCAGGGTCCCCAGTCACAGGATGTGTCCCCAGGACTGCCCAAGGGTAGGAGTGGTGGCCTCTGCCCCCCGCCCAACCCCACGGGGATGGTCCCCAGGGATGTACGATTCCCACCTGAAGCTGAGATGGAGGCCATGGTTTGGGGTCATCTTCACAGGCTGGTTGGGGGTCCCAATGAGGTAGGGGCTGAGTGACAGAAAGAGATGGGATCCATGAGAAAAAGCACCCTGCGCCACCCCTGCCCGTGGCAGAGTTGATCTGAGTGCAGCAGACACACGCAGCCATGCAGCCTCATCCCCACGAGCCCAGGGATCTTGCTGAGAGCAGTGGGGAGCATGCATGTGCCCGGGAGACTGCGCCGGAGGAGGGTGCAGTGGGACTCTCACCATTTGTGGTACTTGCAGGTGAGCGCACCGTTGACGAGCTCGCTGATGGAGCCCGCCTCGCTGAGGTCATCTAGGAGGATCACCAGCGGCACATCCGCCATGCCCGTCTCCCGGTCAATCTGGTTGGCCAGGTTGGAGAGGTACAGCTGCAGGTCCTGCAACGAAGGGGCCGGGTGTCACACGTGGGGCCACGGCACGGCTGCCAACGGGGACCACAGCACCAGTGCCAACAGGGACATTGCTGGCTGCTGCAGGCCCTCACCTTGCAGGACTGCTGGTGCATGTTGAAGGTGCTGACGATGCCCTCGGTGACATCCCGACCCGAGCGTTCCACCAAGTACTCGGCCAGGCGGTTGGTCAGGTAGGTCTTGCCGGTGCCGCTGGGTCCCGAGAGGATGAGCCGCCGGTGCTTCAGCAGCAGGCTGATGTAATGCTGCATCATGGGCTTGGGGATGAGCGTCTCGAACACCAG